CCAGTATCAAATGGAGTGCCGCAGGGGTCTGTCCTGGGGCTGGTTTTGTTCAATATCTTCATTAATGGCCTGGAACATGGGTTGGAGTGTGCCATCAACAAGATCGCAGATGACACCAAGCTGTCGGTGTAGCAGATACACTGGAGGGTAGGGCTAGGATTCAGAGTGACTTAGACAAATTGGAGAATTGTGCCAAAAGAAATCTCATGAGGTTCAACAAGAACAAGTGCAAATTCCTGCATTTAGGACAGAAGAATCCCATGTACTGCTACAGCCTTGGGACTGACTGACTAAGCAGCAGCTCTGCAGAAAAGAACCTTGAGTTATAGTGTACAATGAGCTGGATATGAGTCAGCAGTGTGCCTTTGTTGCCAAGAATGCTAACAGCATACTGGGCTGCATTAGTAGAAGTGTTGCCAGAAGATCGAGGGAAGTAATTATTCTGCTCTATTTTGCACTGGTGAGGTCACATCTGGAGTACTGTGTCTAGTTTTGGGCCCCTCACTACAGAAAGGAGGTGGGGAAGTTGGAGAGAGTACAGTGGAGAGCAACAAAAAGGGTTCAGGGGCTGGGGCACATGATTTATGAGGAGAGTCTGAGGGAACTGGGTGTATTTAATTTGTAGAAGAGAAGACTAAGAGGCAATTTGATAGCAGCCTTTAACTACCTGAAGGGTGGTTCCAAAGAGGATGGAGCTAGACTGTTCTTAGTGGTGACAGATGACACAACAAGGAGCAGTGGTCTTAAGTTCCAGCAAGAGAGGTTTAAGTTGGGTATTAGGAAAAACTTTCTCACTAGGGGGGTGGTGAAGCACTGGAACAAGTTACCTAGAAAAGTGGTATAATCTGCATCCTTGAAGGTTTTAGGGCCCAGTTTGACTAAGCCCTGGCTGGAATGATTTAGTTGGGAATAGTCCTGCTTTGAACAGGAGGTTGGACTAGATGGCCTCCTGAGGTCCCATTCTACCTAATTTTATACAATTCTATGAAAGACTTGGGGTGAAATATAAAATAACAGGAGAATTCCTGTGTTCCTGGCTTGAGACTTGTCAGCCACTTATTTGTTAAACAAGTAGAAGACTGTCATATAAAAAGCCTTGCTCTTCCCTGATGACTATCGCATATTCTTTTGGAAGACCTGGACTTGTCAGTCCTTGTGGTATGTGTGGCCATGCTTTCACTGTAAACTCAGATGGATTTAGAAAATTATATTCCCCTTTCTGCTCCTTCAAAACAGTGAGAATAAAGAGAAAAAACCTACTATATGCTGTCTACCCATCTGGGTAATTGAAACCCACCTACAGTTGTTTGGTTCAAAAAGATGACATTTGAAAACTTCACAATAGCAAGAGCAAAGGCAGGTACCACTGAAGTTCTAGACAGCTACAGGTGATGAGGTAGAATTTAGTTTCCCAAAATGGATGGGGGAGGGTTGAAAATTAAAACCTGGACAGGTTAGCTTCATGTGTGCTGAAACTCTGCTTTATAGTGTGATAGCTTGATGTAAAAAGTATTTTTTTTATTCAGAGTGCTTCATGAGAGAGATTTATAGTTAATAGTAATGCATATTTCTTTATATGTTCAATGAACAGTATAGAGAAATAACTTTAGCAATGATCTTTTGCTACGTATAGCCAAAATTTTAAAATTTGAATGTTCAAAGTTTGTCTTTTAAGTTAATATTCATTGATGGAACATTTTGGTTATCTGTTATTTTCCAATTTTTAAGAACTTATAATAAACATTAAGAAAAGATGTTTTTCTGTCTCTGTTTTTTGAGAGGTTTAATGGCCAGAATTCCTTGATAAAATTCTTATTTATTAAATTCTAATTGTCTGTATATTGTGTGTTATCTCATGAATGGAGCTATCTGGTAACTCCTGCATGATAGTGCCATTAATGACTTGCCAGTCTCTGTTCTCAGTGCTGAAAATAAATTCTCTGATGGAGTTAAGTGTTTGTTACATATGAATATATTGCATTTTTACACATATATTTATATGCATAGATGCTATTCAGTTTTCAAGTGGCTGGGTGCTGCTTCACCATGTATATGGGTGTCCTGCTCCACAGCATGCACAGGCAGCCTCCATCTCAGCTCCATGGCCATGCGATCCCCTGCTCTACTATGCTGTGGGCTCCATGACTCCACAGGCTGCACTGTACCACCCCTTGGGGCAGGAGCAGGAAACAAAAGCTGGAGGAAGGAAAGGAAGTCCAGCGCCCCCCGGTTACTTCTGCAGCTCAAGTGGTAGGAGGAGCAGAGACTGGGTGGGAGCACAAGGGTGCAGATTTACCCCTCAGGCCACTAGTTGGATAGCCCTGTTCTAAGCAGAATTTTTATGTCCATTCCTAATGTATTTCAAAATTACATTTGTGCAAGATGATTAAGTGTTTTGAGCCTGGTTTTTGAACGAATTTCAAACTGCTTTATTATGCAGATCCTATGATGCTGAACTATCTGTGTGTGTGTCTGTGTCTATCTATATTTTTTATGAACTTTGTTCTCGGAAAAGTGGAAACCACAGTAATTTAAAATCTTTTATTCACTAAAATAAGTAAGAATAACAAAGGAGTATTATTTAGTATTTATTTTTATGTGCTTTATATGCTATCCTAGCCAAAAAAAGCTCAGGTGGCTTGCAATAAAGACTAGTCATGCCATAAAACCAGATAAGAAATTAAATAAAATGGTAAACGATAAAACAGTTTTCCAAACAATAGCTCAATACTTAATCCCACCTGTTAAAAAAATTGTCTAAATAAGAAGGTTTTGGGTTCTCAGTAGAAGGTCCCAGTAGTAGGTTCACTCTCCCGTTTTGGGCCCATGTGTTCAAGCTGCTGATAAGGATACCAGACATCTTGGTGACCCTTAATGATACAGATTTCTTCCTATGTAAAACTGGACTCGTAATTTTGTGCGGACTAGGGAATAACAGTCAACAGTTGATTACCTTGGTCATTGTTGACCTACATAGAGTTTGAATTAATGAAGTGAATGGCTAGGTTACCAAACCCCTGAGCTAGATCCTTTTGCAATGCTTTTGATGTCTTGAAATAGAGGTAGTTTTTTTTGTACTGACAATTGCTATTAGCTTCCTTTGGGGCCCAGACAGTGTTTGATGTGGGAGGGTTTCAAGGTGACAAAGTTGTGTTCATGTTCTTCATGATGGCAACTAATGTACATTGGCTACTAAATCTGGTTTGTGAAGATATATATTAATTTTTGACACAAAGATCTATTAATATAACTTAAAGCCAAATGAATTATGTGAATCACATGTTTCATCTGTAGACCTCTGCCTTAACTAGAAGGAAATTTCTTGCTGTAGGTAGATAAATGATGAAAGCTTGTCAAAAAAAAGTTTAACACTGAAAATTTATTCTCTCTCTTCTTGCCAATTTTGAAGCATCTCCTCTAAATACTATCTGTACTCTGTAGAAAAATAGAGGTGTTATTTCCTTTGTATTTTTAGTAGCAATATGGATCCAATGTACATTTTTATTGCCCTTAAAAAGTGTATTTGAATGATCAATCTTAATGATGGCAATTCCTGTTCCCATGAATCTGACAGCACTTCTTGTAGAATATGGTAATTGCTAGCGCATATCAAACAAGTTAATTTGTCTCACAGAGGATATTTTAATAAAGATAACTCAGCATTGTATATATTAATAAATAACTAAAATGGTAAAAGGAGACGCTTTAAACTAACCATTTAGAAATAAATGACAGGATATAAAGAAAATGTAAGATTTAAGGAACCTTATGTAGATAGGGAGAACACACTCTGGAGAAAAGCTTCCTGGACTAAGAGTCTTGGAGGGTGTGCCTTAGACTAATCCACGGAGGTTTCCCAGAAGCTGCTCCTGTCCTTGAATCTTGCTCTTGTACCTGGTAGGCATCCTTGCTATCCTTTTGCAGAGTTAGATACTGTTTCATATTTAGTAAAACAAGAGCTTCTTTTCAGTTTTAGACACTTCTTGATAAATTAAATTATACAAATTTCTCAGGATCACCTGCAGATGCTGGTGGCAGCACGGGGGTAGTGTGGTGAGTGGGGACTGCTTGCAGACGCCAGTGGCAGTGGTGGCAGTGGGGCAGGGGGGTGGTGAGTGGTGAGCGGGGACTGCCCGCAGATGCCGGTGGTGGTGAGCAGCAACCACCTGCAGATGCTGATGGCAGCATTGGCAACTGGGGGGTGGGGGGTGATGTGGTGAGCGGCGACTGCCTGTAGTAGCCAGTGGTGGCAGGAGCCAATCTTTCGGGGGGGAGACACGTGCCCCCTGCTACGAGTCGCCTATGGGCCGGTAAGCTGTTTAAGAAATTTGAAGTAATGTGGAGAGAGGCTATTGTTTTGCTAATTGGTTGATAAAGACTTATCAGCCCCCTGGCTGGTTTGCTTGCCTGTCAGTTTGCAGCAGACAGTATGACAAAGCAAGTAGAGAGATTGAAAAGCTCTGTATCATCATCAGATGCCTGCACTGCACACCCCCAACTTGCCTCAGAGTGCTAGCCCAGGACTGGTGGCTGGCAACACTCCCGTTCCTGAGCAGCCAGTGGGGAAAAGCCTGGGACTGTGCAGGCAGACATTCCTAATGAGAGAGTCCTGCCTGGGCCTGGCCATGCCCCCCTCAGCTCAGCTCCCTGCAGAAGGGAAGGGAGGACTGCTCTAGCATCCCCTCTCCCCCTCCCCCCTGCCCCGACTTCTAGCTTGAGTCACTGCAGGCATATGCCTGCATATCCTCAGTCCAGAGAGAATGTCTGTCTAGTTTCAAATCAGTTCAGCTTAGTCAGGTTAGACTAACCTGCAAAGATTTAATCAATTCAGGTTCAGGTTTTTTGAATATCTGTCCCTAGCCTAAAGGTTTAGGTAATTTTTTTAAATACTTCTGTAATATATAAGTATTACACAATATACCAGTATGCTTGTAAACTTTAATTTAGCTGGGAAAACATTTGTTTCAGTGGTTAATGTGTATCTAATTGTTTCCCCATAGGTTGATGGGATACTGTGTTTGGCTGACATTCTCACTGATAGTACCCATTCAGAAGCCACTCATGCAGAAGCAGCAGCAGTAATAGCACAGATCACATCTCCACATCTCACTTGCACTCAGCATCTTGGTAGCTTTCTAGAAAACATGGAGGAAATTGTAACAGCACTTGTCAGTAAGTACTAGAGATTTGTTTCAATCTCTTTTATTAGCATGACTGGAATTAGGGGGAAAGTGAGGTTTTGTTGAAATATTTCCTGCCATTTACAATATGTCCTGAAGGGCATATGCCTTTCTTTCCATTTGCAAGTATAATGTTCCCCAATACAAATCTCTATATAGTGACTGCATCTACACAAGACGCTGATTGTGCAATTGTTACTGCGCCATTTGTGTCCCCAAATGGCTTTGTGCCATGTGATACTACTAAGCAGTAGTAACAAGTTACTGCACAGTCAGCATCTCATGTAGCTGAGTAATTTTAACTCCTGAAGCTGTAAATACTGCACTGGTTCCAATGATCTTCATTTTATGGTCAAAACTCCAACAAAATGTAGGTATGTTTGTGACAATAGTGAACTAAAATCTTAACTACAAGTTGGGCCTTCTTATCATCTTGCATATAATGATATAAATCATAACTCCATAGAAATTAATAGACCAAAGTAAGTGTAAGACTGATGTGAATGAATGGAAAATCAAGCCCATTATTTTTTCTGCATGTGTATGATGCTTTACAAGAAAAGTTCTATGTAATCCATTGGCTTTATGGAAAAATTCTGGCCTTTTCTGTAGGCCTGCAGTCCATGGAAAGATGAGATGGAATGCAAAGACAAAAAGCACACTGCAACGAATCAACAATTTAATACTATAGCACAAGTTTGGGGTGTTCTTTAAACCAGGTCAGGAAGGATTTTCTTGTAAATTAAGAAGGTAGTCTCAATAATTTGAAGCATCATTGTGTTTGCTTGTGGTCATTGCTGGATAAAGGAATCTGTCATTTCTAATATTGTGTTCCAGCCTAACACAGCATTCTAGCCTTTTCAAACACGTTTCCCCCCAAATTCAGTCCTTCATGTGGTTTAAGGATCATCTTGCCTGACCACCTGTAAATCGCATCCAGATGAATTTCACGAAGCTAACCTTTATCCTGAGCCCAATGCCTTCAGTTAGACCAAACCATTTCAGTCCTCTTGAGATTAAAATATATATTTTAGCAGAGAAAAGGACAGGGGAAGCTGGTACAGTGGAATGGATTGATTGAATAGAAAATGTCCAGATGATCTTAGAATGGGACCGGGATCGTCTGCTACAGGGAATAAGAAAAACTCCATTGTTTCTTTGCCAATCTGACATGAGTTGAAATTTCTGCCCAACCCCAAATCTGGTGTATCCTGACATTTCCCTGTTTGCTCACATGGTAAATAATGTCTCATTCTGCTCATTGCTATTATAAGTAGGCTGTTTTTCATAGACTGCTCTATACTACAGTGCAGTCTGCAGTACAGCAACACCCTGTCATCCTGTGGGCAGGGTCACTGAGAAGCAGGGTATTTTCTGTATTGTCTCTATCAAGACACCAGATGAAGCACTGTTGATAATAAGTGCCTGTGCTCAGCAGTATATAACTTAGAAAGAGAATCATTGTAACACTGGGAAAGCCTTTTTACAAATCAGTCACCAATTTCCTTATATATCAGAGGGCTTGATGAGATATATATGAGTAATTGAATTGCTTTTTTAATAAGCTTAATTTTTAAAACACTTGGAAATCAGATTGCCAGTGACTCAGACATTAGTTAAAATAAATGTGTACAGGAATTAAGATACAAGTGATGATGATAATAGTTGTGCTTAAGAAAAACGCACACAACTTTTTTTTTTTTAAAGAGAACTGAAAAAGAAATAAATTATACAGAATGATTTTGATTTTAAAGAAGAAGCTTTAGAGATAGTGAGATAGTATCACTGCCATGGACCAGTTCACTTTGTTCATCTGAATACTTTATCTCCTTTTAGTTAGGGCGTGTCCAGATGAGCACACACGTGAGGTTTGCGGCTCTGCAAACCTCACATGGTGAATGTACAACTGTGTGCCATGATGCAAATTTGCAGAGCAGTGCTAAATTTGGTACTGGTATGTTCCGGTATCAAAACCCCCCCCACCCCACCACAAAAAGCATTGTGGCACATGCAGCAGCAGCATGCGCCACCAGAAATGGAACCTGTCTGTCCAGAGCTACACTGTAGGTTCTGGCCACACTCCATGCAGCTAGATCAGTGCCGCTGCGGTCCTGGAAGGCCCCCAGGACCCCAAGTAAGACTGGTTCCAGCACAGGCACTGGCTCTCTTGGAAATGCCTTCTATTCATAATGAATATTTATAAAGCACTATGAAAAAGTAAAAGGCTCTATCATTGTTAAATATTATTATTCTTATGATAATTCTCTTTGGTTTTTGCCTTTTTTGTCTAGGCACTTTGCTGTTGTGATGTTAGTCACAAAAACTAACATTCCTAATTTACATTGACAAAAGGGAAAATTTGCATGCAATTTCAGATCAATATTTAACTCATGCATGAAGCTTTTCAGATTGGAAGAGTGAATGATTTCTTTTAATCAATATTTTCTGCATTTCTAGAATTGTGCCAAGAGGCCTCATCTGGTGAAGTTTTCCTCTTAGCTTCGGCGGCACTTGCCAATATCACATTTTTTGACACAATGGCTTGTGAGATGCTGCTTCAGTTGAATGCTATGAAGATTCTTCTTGCAGCTTGTTCAGACAGGCAAATAGTGGATACCCCATATTCTCGAGATCAGGTGAGTTGTTTCTGAACAAGTTGTTATGTTCATCAGGCCCATAGCAACCAGTGACAGTCACTTATACTTGAAGTGGCACAACAGTTTCAGTTCTTATCTCCAGTTTTTTTTACATGTTTCAAATTTAATTTGGCCCATATTTTCCATGCATGGTCTCTGCCCAAATATGCCTGCTTTCTTCTATGTATGTTTGTATCTTTTAAACCTGAGTGATATTTAACATGGCTCTTACCAAAACCAAAGTTTTATATTTGGAGGTATATATTTTAGTCCTCACAGGGGTCAGAATCCTTTGTCTGGGATGAAACATGTACTTAAATTTAAGAAAATTTTGATTGTTAGAAAATTCTATAAAGTTTCCTTAAGCTCACAGGATGATTTTTAGACACAGATGATCTTTGCATCTGTATGTAGCTAGTTATGGCTACAATCCTCAAGCATATTGCAGCTATAAATAGCTACACATAGATGTGTGGATCATCTAGTCCCGACTAAACATCTGTTTAAAAATTTGGGGTGACATACTGCCAAACTCTTACTACTCTCACCCAGCCCAAGGGCATGCTTGAACATATCAGGCATGATAAAACAGGAGTGCAGCGTTCGCTAGCTAACTTTTTTGGTAGAATAGTTCCTAAGGAGATACTCTGATGAAGGAGATTATCACTGAGGCTGTGATAACTTGTGCCCAGGGCCCTTTCTGTCCTCATCTGTCTCCTAGAGTTATAGATAGTGAGACAAAAATGTTATAAAATAGAAAATGTTATCTCCTTCTGTGCAACACACTATCTTGGCCATGGTGTTTAGTTCATATCATTCTTTTGGCTCGTTCTCTATTTTTTCATATTCTCTGTCATTTTTGGTCACTTTCTTCTCTATGAAAGCAAGCCTAATTTTTCTTCCTTTGAATTGTATGGTAAATTTACAATTCTTTTAAAATTTGGATTTGTAATTTGTTTTACAGTTCACTTTTGGAGCAAGAAGAGCTTCTTTAGAGGAGAAAGAGAGCTGTTAAAGTACCATATTTTCTAGCATCCAACACAAACCTTTTTTCCAAAAACCAGTTGCTAGAAATTGGACTTATGCATTATGTATAAGGAAATATGTTAACATGAGTTTATGGTACATAAGGTTCACATGTATGTAATCCACAGGGAGCAGAACAGTGAACTAGCTGCTTCTACTCATTTACTTACTACAAGAAAAGATCTTTTTTCCCCTTTATTCTGCCTTTTGTAAATAAGGCACATATTTTATTCTGGGGTGTGAGTATGTATGAAAGCATAGCAAATGACTTATTATTATATCAGCCAATTGGCTGTCTCAATCTCCTGAACTTTCCTAGCCTGTCTTGCAGGATATTTTGTTAATTAAAGTAACAGGAAACTTCTGACTGGCAGATTTTTCCACAAAACGGAGGAATCTGGCCCACAGTAATCAGGAAGAGCCAGGAAGCAAAGTGACGATGCTCAAGAAGGGTTGGTATGTAGGTAGAAATGAGATGGTGTCTAGTGTCATTGTTATTTTTACCAATATAGCAGTAGATTTTGTAATTAAAGATCATCCTGCTGCCTGTATGCTTCTGTGTGGTGCCCAGTGTGAACTTGAATGCTGCTGACCTTAACTTAAAAAAAATGTGAGTGCTGCTGGCCAAGAAGTTTTAGGAACATGAAAATCCTTTTAATGTTTATTTTTATAGGACTTGAGGCCTTATATTGTGGTTACTCTGTGCTGTTTTCTGGGTATTCAGGGCTCATTATTTCCCTTCATCACAGTACTGTAGCCAGTTCTGGTAGTTCTGGGCTGTTTCAACCTTTCTATAAGGAAAACCTAGGACAGAGCGCTAAAGTGGCTAATCCTCAATAAAGTTCTTATGATGGTGGTGGGTTCATCCGAGTTATTCTGCTGAAGTCCCTATCACTGCATATCACAAATCATGCAGCAGAGCCATCCCTGAAATTATGGTGATCCCAGAGATCTGAGCCCTTAAGGAATCAGGAGAGAATTGGGCCACCTACATGATGACTTTCTGCCACTGCATGGGCTCTCTTCCTCCCCAGCCATTTCTCCCTGCCATTTGTAGCTTTCTTCAGCCATAGATTCTGAACAAGATTTGATTCAAGAAGTTGTCTTACAGTGGTGATGGTTATAACATTGCAGAAAGGTGAATGTGTACCTGTATTTTGTCTACTTTGATAGCTAGTGTGTTGTTTGGAATGTGTGCCCAGTTGCTGTGGTGATCAGAAAATAGATGCCATTACAAAAATATAAACATATTATCTGTTTGTAAAGGTATTACACTTTCGATATATGGATTTTGAAAACTCATCATTTAATTTTGTTTTTACACACATAATATATCAGATAACTTATTTGGATATTCCATCATTTGCCAGGTAGTCAGTGGATGTGGTTCCATGATAATTGTTATGCATATCAGAGTTAATAGTGTTTTGGAAAATGATTCATGGAGTATCTTTTTTTTAAATTTGCTATTGCCACTAGGCCTGTTTTTAATGGACAAATATTCTTTTTGAAAGACTGAGTCAGCTCTGTCAATAAAATAAATGGTTTAGTAATGCTAGAGTCAAAATATAGCCTATGTTTAAGTGATTAAATAAGCAATGATATAGGAATAGCATTTATATCAAAAGAGTCACTTTGCCATAAGTAAATCAGAGATAATCTAATTGCAATAAAGTACTATAACAGTAGTTCCTCAAACATAATGCTGGTGGCTTCCAAAAGGTAGATAAATTTAAATAAAGCAATCTTTCTAATAGAGGTCTACCTACTATCTACAATTATGTTACTCTTGTGGTGTCACTCTTGATTTTTTTATTATTATTATTTCCTGTAGTGGACTCAAAGAAGATCAATAGTATACCTTAGACCAGTAGGGGCTAACCTTTTTGCCGAGTGTTCCACAAATTAGCCATGCAACTTCCCAGAGTGCAACTCTGGTCCCTTTCCAATATCTATCCTGTTGTTCTGCTTTCTGCTCCCTACTCTGTGCTCTATTTTCTGCTTCCCTCCCTGTGTTACTGTGCTGTCTGCCCCTTCCCTGATCTGCTGCATGACACACATAGAGGCTGCCCGTGCCTGAGGCTGGCAACCCCTGCTGTAGAGGAAGGGGTTTTCTTGTGGCCAAATATCTGAAGTATGGAGCTCTGAGTGCTATCTCTATCTTGTGCCAAACACTTGTTATGAACAAATTACTTAGGTGACCTTGGGCAATTACTTATGTGACCTTGTAACATTCCTGTACCTCAGCATCTCCATCAAGAACACTCCTGCAAGAAAGCTGTTATTGTTCAGTGTGAATTTCCTCCAGTGACAAAAAACTAATAGACAAATACAAATCAGTCAACTAAATGGGATTCAGGTAAACCTTAAATGCCTTTGTCACAAAATGTAATCCAAATCAACCCCTCTCAAGTAGGCACCAGTTCTACAGATAGGGACACGCGGGCAACAAACTGTGGCTCTGCCCTGGGCCCTGGCCCCGGCCCTATACTGTCACCGTGTTGGGATCCAAGCCCTGGTCCTGGCTCCCGCCTGCCTGTCCTGCTCTTGAACACTGCTCCCCACCTGCCTGTGGCCCCATTCCATCTGCCCACCTGAGCGTGGCCAGACCATGGGCTCCTTGCTGGTCTGTCCAACTGAGCATGACCCTGCCCACTCTGCCTGGTGCCTTCAGCAGTGGCTGTGGGGTGGACAGGTTGGGGTGCCTAGGCATCAGGACTGGATCCATTGGAGTCAGCAGCACTGGCTTCAGCAGCTAGAAGGAGCCACCACTGCTGGGGCTTCTGGGAAGCTGAGTCCAGTTGCTGTGCTGCCTCAGCCCTAGGGGTGGCAGGACCAGCTGTACCGTGGCCCAGGCTGCCCCCTGCACCTGGCTAGGAGGCCAGATAGAATCCCTTGGTGGGCCAGATCCAGCCCGTGAGCTGTGTTTTGCCCACCCCTGTGTTAGAGGACTGGAAAGCAGGGGTTTGGCTAGGAGCTATCAAGTCTGCCCCATGCCTGCCCACTTGCCAGCTCTTTAGTGGCAGTATAAACTCCAGGATTGGCCCTCTGCCAGGTACATCAGCCTGGATTGGCCCCCTGCTGGTCTGGATTAGGACTTGCTGGCTCCCTACAGGCCCAGATATTGGGGCCCTACTCAACTGCTCCCCATGTCCCACTGTACTCCAGCTCCTGGTTCCCCACTCATCTGTAGGGAAGCAGATGTCTGGGAACAAACTGTCCATTTGTGGTGGCTGGGAGGATTCCTCTTCCCTGTTTTGCTCCCAGCCTGGGGGAAGACTTTGGGTGCTGGGTTCACAATGGAGTATAGGTGGTGGTGGTGGGGGGGGAGGGAGGTTCTCCTTCCCTGCTGCTCCTGGGCCCCTTTCGGCCTTCACTGCCTGTGCTGGGTCACATATCCAGCCTGTACTGCTTTCACTTGGCTTCATACCTGCTTGCTCAATTGCTAGTCCCCACAGTGACTGCCTGGCAGCTCCCCATGGGGGAAAGGGGAGAGGCAGCCATCTGGGTGCATAGAGGGCTGCCAGGCCCACCCACCCACCTCCTGTGGCAGCCTGGCAGCTCCCTCCTCCCCGCCTTCCTCTGCCCCTTCCCTCAACACCCATCCAATCCTGTCCCTCTTCATCCCTTTTCCCAAACTCAGATCCTGCACACTCACCTGCCACCTGGCTGTCCCCAGCTGTCAGTCCAGGGCCACCAAGCTCTTTGTGACTAGCATCCATGCTGGGAGCAGTGCTTCCTGGGTTGCTGGAAGACTGCAAATTGAGCATTTTATCTCAGTGGTGGAGCTAGACGTTAAAGTAACTCAAGCTAGGTAGCAGGGTTCAAAGATAATCCTTGCCTGAAGTGGCAAAATTTAAGATGCCTGGAGCAGTGGTTTTCAACTGGGGTGCCACAGCCCCCTGGGAAGCCACAACCAGGTTTCAGGGGGTCTGCCCAGTTTTTCCCAGTGTAGGGAGGAGCTGCCTCAGTCC